TGGCGGTGCCAACATGTTTTTCAAGCTGCCAGGTCCAGAACTCTTAACAGTCAGCCATATGGGATCCAGCTGCCTTGACAATTATGCCACTGACTGTTTCCTTAATGCAATGATTTTTGAAGGAACAAATTATGTTCAGCACTGTAAAAAATAAAATGGTTAATGCATTAAAACCTAGAAAAATTTGTCCAAAATGTAAGAATATTTTTACATTAAAAAGTCATGTAACTCACTGTGTATATTAGTTTGCTAAAGCTGTCATTAATAAAAAAGAGGGAGAGATAAAGAGAGAAATGCAGCCTTCTTGGCAGCCTTCTTTTTGTATATCACGTTTTTTTTTTTTTTTCAATTTTTAAATTTTTTTGAGAGTTTTTGTTGTTGTTGTTGTTGTTGTTCTAGGGCACATGCACTCACCAGAAAGACAGAGAGAGACAGAAAGTAAGAAATCACCCCCGCAGGGGGCATGGCCACACCAGAATCCCTTCTCCATTCTTCTCTCAGAATCTTGGGCACGCATGCACACTTGTCCAGCATGAATTTAAGCCACCAGGTCTGGGACTCGTACCACAGTTGACTACATAGAAGTCCAGTGATGTAGCCATTATACCATCTGCTAGTTCCTCAATTTTTTTTTAATTGTATTTATTATTTTGTGGGGTACAATATAATTTTCACTTTATACATAAAGTGTGTCATTGTCAAATCACAGATATAGACACACCTGTTCTAAACATTGAACATTGCATTATTTCTCACTTTTTTTTGTTTGTTTTGCATGCCCTTGGTATCTCTCTGTGTATCTTAATCTCTCTCTCTCTTTTTTAAGGGCATCAATCAGATTATATGAAGATCTCACTTAATAGTTTTATTTTAACATAATCACCTCTTTAAAGGCCCCTATCTCCAAATATAGTCACATTCTGAGTACTGGAGATTAGGACTGCACCAAATTAATTCTGGATAGAGGGAGATACAATAAATCCCATATTTTCCAGTGACTTTTTTTCCCCTTAAGTTTACTTATTTACTTTTATGAGAGAAAGAGAGACAGAGAGGCAGCCATTCCCAACAGGGTACTTATGCCATGATCTACCCCCAGTCTCAGCCAGCCCAGATCACAGGCAAGCATGTGTGAGTCTGATGTGCTAAAGGAGATCCTGGGATGTGAATGCAGGATCTTTCTTACATGGGCCCAGCTGTGTTACCCCTGCACCATCACCCAGCTCTGATTTGATGACTATTGTTAGATATTCACCTGACAGAGTTAAGGGATTCCCAGACCACTGGCAAAGCCATATTTCTCGATATGTCTGTGAAGATATCTTTGAAGAGACTGGTATTTCAACCAGAGTACTGAATAAGAAAGATTTTACTTTACTCAGTGTGAGTGGGCACTATTCAATAGGTTGAAGACACATACAGAGCAAAAAGTCTGATGAAAGGTGAATTATCTCTCTACTAAAGCAAGAACTCTCATCTTCTGTCCTTGGACATCAGAGGTCCAGGTTCTCCAGCTTTTGGACTGTAAAACTTGGAGCATAGATTCTCTAGTTTCTGTGAACTTTGACCTTGGAATAAAAGTTATACCATCAACTCCACTGGTTCTCAGGTCTCCAGATTAGGACTGAGCTATGCCACTGGCTTCCTTGCTTCTCAAACATAAACCAACAATATCATGAGACTTCATCACTTCAATATTCCTATGAGCCAATTCCCATGATAAATCACCTATTTATATCTATTTATATCTATGCCTATGTATAGCTTATTGGTTCTTTTTCTCTGAGAATCTTGACTAATACACACCAAGTTAAACATTTTAAAAATATCAATTGATCATATCATATCAATAGACAAAAATCTTTGACCTAGAAATAAAGAACGTGGAACAGAAGTTCTTATAGTAGAGAAGAATTCAGAGGAGGTAGTATATAACTAAAGACGATTTAAAAATAGGATAGTAGAAAAGATACCGTCAGCATTAGCTTGAAGACAGGGACAGGATGTTTGGGAATCTGGTTTAAAGAGTCTCTTTGAAGTTTATATTAGTTTTCTCTTGCTGAGTAACAAATTACCAATAATGCAATGGCTTAAAACAGTACCCATTTACTAGCTTACTGTTCTGTAAATTAGAAGCTTTGACTGTATTCTCTGCTTAGGATTTCAAAAGACCATAGTCATAGTATCAACCAGGATAGATTCTTATCTAAAGAATATAGAGGAAAATATTCTGAACTCATTTCAATTGTTGGTAGAACCCACTTCCATGGGATTATATGACTGAGGATCCCATATCTTTACTGGTTCTCAGTCAGACCATGCTCTTCTCAATATATTTTATGAGGGTGCATGCCAGAAGTCATTCTTATAAATGACTTCCATCTTCAAAGACAATAGCATGCTTAATCATTATTATTGTACTTTGAATCTTTTTATTTTTCCTTCTGCTCATAATGTGTATATTATTCTCTGATTTTCAGAGCTCGTATGATTAGATCAAAACATACCACATACTCTCATTGTCTTCAAATCAACTGTGCCATATGACATAACATAATCGACAGAATAATAATCCATCACATTTTCATTTCTTGGGATTAGAGTGGAGGTGTTGTGGAAAGCCATTTACGAATTATTTCAAACATAAGATCTTTGAGGAAGAGAATAACTAGACATGGTATTAAATGCCTGAAGTGTTAACCTAGAGTACACATTTGAATCACCTGTGACATTTCAAATATTACTCAGGCTTGGGCCCTAACATAACATTCAAATTAGAACTTCCTAAGAGTACTGCCTAGGACTCAGTACCAAATTTCTCAGTCACCCTAACATTGTGTTGATCTCAGTGGTTATAGGTTAACTTATATACCATAGATGGTAGCAGCACCACAAATAGTTTAAGCTAACCAACAACAGAGGGTCTCAATTTCATTGTACTCTAATTGATTCTCTTCAATGTTTTTCTCTAATTTCAAAGATTCTGAGAGTTTTGCTTAAATTAACTATAAGTGTGCACATTATGGCCCACATGTGAACTGTGCACATTTGCACAAAGGAATCAGTGTACAGATGGAAAAGGAGATCTTGTCAAATTTGGGGGATTATTTTAAAATCCCAAAACCTGTTGAAGCATTAAACCACTTTCAAAGGTATTATGCAAAAGAACTATTAACTCTCCTCTGAAATATTAGATCTACTAAAGATATCTATTAAGCATATAGGAATTATAAATATTATTTGATATTGTAGAAGAACACATATAAGTCTTTGTAAAATGGAGAAGCTTTCTGGTTTAAATTATTCTAGAATTATGTTTATGTCAAATCAGAGTTAATTACTATAATAATTTTGAATAGTTCCAAATTGTTTTTCCAAATTTGCATTTAGTTAATCTAATTATTCACAGCTATTGTGTTTCTCTGAAAATGATCAGTTTTCAAGGAAATATTGAAAACCATCACTAACAATGACTTGTCTTATGAATAAATAATTCCAAATATTCAATATATTAAGAATTATTATATTCAAATTTCTTCCTGGTTATATTCAAATTTCAAGGTATATTACTTATATCAAATACATAGCTCACAAATTTTAATTTTTAAATTTAAGCTTCTGAAACATCAAAAGCCAATATTGAACTCAGGAACTTCATAGTTCAATGTGTGTTACAGAAATAAATATGAACAGCAATAATAATAAAAAGAACTCAGAGACAACTTAATCTCAAAGTTTATAACCATTAACTCATTTAATCTTCGTATTCATCTAATTTGGTAAGTGCTCCCTATGATTTAGACAATGGCGTGGCCCCCAGAGTCTGTGTGTTGAGATGTAGTCCTTAACGGCATGGGGAGATGGTAAAACTTTTAAGAGGAAGACTCAACTTCAGTGTGGATGGGCACCTTGCTGGATAAGGTCAGCAGGTGAATCAGTGGACTGAGAAAGGAAGACCTGCCTTCAATGTGGGCAGTTACCATGCAATTGGATGAAAGCTTGGGAGGGACAAAGTAAAAAGTCTGCTTTCACTCTTTTGCCCTTTCTTTCTCTCTTCATGTGCCTACTTACCTTCCTTCTTTTTTCCTCATGATGTTAGGCATCACAGGCACCCAAATTTTGAGCCAAAGAAACTTTACTCATTGTATATCATACTTAAATTAAATTTCTATTTAGCAACATAATAAATAATTAATACCATACTTATCTTCATTAAATCTCACTTTCAGATGAATAAAATAAAATTCAGAGAGTTTGTTTTTTTATTTTTTTTACAATTAAAGTATGAATTTCTTTTGGTACAAGAACTTTTTGAAATTTATACATAGTTTTCAAATTACACATATTTCCATGAGCTTTTTTTTCTGAAACATTTTGTAAATTAATTTACATTTATTCCCTAAGCATTGTCATATCATACAAAACATGATTTCCCATCCAGAATATACTGCATAGTGGCTTAATCATGCATGTTATCATTAATAATTTTCCATTTCTAGTTATATATATATATATATAAATGCTAAGGAACTTTGCTTAAAACTTAAAACCAGGAAACAGGTTAGGATTCTGTTCAAATGAACAGAATCTGTACATGAACCTATCAACAGCTCAAGATGAGACAAAAATCCTTAAAACCAGAAAACAAAGACTAGAAGAAAAATCATTGAGTTTTTAATAACTTGACTGGGATCAAATTAATTTTATTAATTGTGGGGCTAGAACTTTAGCTCAAGTGGTATAGCTGAAAAAATAATTCCTTAGGCACTGTCTCTTTAGATTGGTAAAATGGTAAAAATAGCACTAACAAAAATACAGTGTGACTGAAGCCCACTTACAAAAAAAAAAAAAAGATTATTTAGACTTTGGAAGGTGATATTGTGATATTTAAATTGAAAATAGAATTTCACCAGATATAAAGCTGGAGGAGATAGAGTATGCCAGACATTGGTGACACTATGAATTAAGTTCTTAAGTGAGCAGCTTGAAAAACCAAGATTTTACTTATCTGGCAGAGGAGATACCATGATTACCAAGGTGGTTTTCCCAGGGAAAGGCTTATTCATTTCATTCTGGAGGTGCTGACCCCTATGATTTCCCCAAATGTGGTAAACTCAACTTATAATTTGTGATAGTGGGGGACTGCGTTCACGCTCTCCCATGGGGGGTGGGGACGAGGTTATACTATTATTTTATTTATTTATTTATTTTTGAAAACCTCAAAGTATTATTCTTTTTTTTTGGGGGGGGGAGAGGTTTTTGCTATAGGGCATGTGCACTCGCCAGATAGACCTAGAGACAGAGAGATAGAAAGCGAGAAATCACTCCCCAGGGGGGATGGCCATGCCACAATCCCTTCTCCTCCATTCTCCTCTCAGGATCTTGGCCACGCATGCAAAAGTGCCTGGCATGAGTTTAAGCCACCGGGTCTGGGACTCAAACCGTGGTCGACTATGTGGGAGTCCAGCAACATAGCCATTAACGCTAACTGCTGGTCCCCAAAGTATTATTCTTTGGGCCCACGTGGTGGCACAGTGGTAAACCATGATGCTATGCAAGGCAATCCTGCATCAGAAAGTTCCAGGTTCAAGTACAAAGCCTGAGTACACCAGGCACTTGCTTGTCCATGATATAAACCTCAATGACGTTTCTCTGACTGGATGCAGCTGGGAGTAGAGTGCAGCATTAAGAACTTGTTGGGATCATTGTCTTCCTCTCTTGCTCTCTCTCTCTCTTGTTTCATGTATGAAGGAAATAAACTGTAAAAATACAGAAAAACTTCAGGGGATAATGTTATCTGTTCCTTTTATTATCTTACTTTTGTATAAAAGCGAGAAATCACTCCCCAGGGGGGGATGGCCATGCCACAATCCCTTCTCCTCCATTCTCCTCTCAGGATCTTGGCCACGCATGCAAAAGTGCCTGGCATGAGTTTAAGCCACCGGGTCTGGGACTCAAACCGTGGTCGACTATGTGGGAGTCCAGCAACATAGCCATTAACGCTAACTGCTGGTCCCCAAAGTATTATTCTTTGGGCCCACGTGGTGGCACAGTGGTAAACCATGATGCTATGCAAGGCAATCCTGCATCAGAAAGTTCCAGGTTCAAGTACAAAGCCTGAGTACACCAGGCACTTGCTTGTCCATGATATAAACCTCAATGACGTTTCTCTGACTGGATGCAGCTGGGAGTAGAGTGCAGCATTAAGAACTTGTTGGGATCATTGTCTTCCTCTCTTGCTCTCTCTCTCTCTTGTTTCATGTATGAAGGAAATAAACTGTAAAAATACAGAAAAACTTCAGGGGATAATGTTATCTGTTCCTTTTATTATCTTACTTTTGTATATTTTTAAAATGTTTAATTTGAATTTTAACAGTCCACATATATTTTATCTTTATCATTATTTCATTTTATTGAACTTATTGACTAAAAGTATATAAACATTTTGTTGTAATTATTTTAAACAAAAACTATAATATATTTGCTTATCTACCACAAGCACACTAGGAAAAGAAACATTCAAGGGTATTAAATGTTTTTATAATTTGAAATATGGATGATTGTCTCATTTTGATGACTTTTCTTCTGAATGGAAATTATTCAGCCTCATAATGGCATCCACATTAATTGCAGCTAACAACATACTTAGTGGTAAAATATTGACTACTTCTCCATAAACTTTAGAAATACATAAAACACTTTTACATTCTATTAAAACTGTTACTACAGTATATAGTCAGGAAACACAGGGCACAAACAGTTAAAAGCATAAAATAAAAATAAATTTATTTACCAAATTGAATCACCTGAGGGCACAAAACAAGTGGAATTAATATTTATAAAATATTTTGATAAATTAAAAAAAAACGAGTTTACAATATTATTTAAAAATAGAATGTTTAGTATCATGGAATGATCATATCTGAAAAACATGTTCATGTCATAAAACCCACAATCTGTGAATGCTGCATTGTTTGGCGGGGAGAATTGTTTCAATATAAATGAATTTAGGATTCAAAATGAGTTTTTCTTCATTATTAAAGTGTTTCTTATAACCAAATATATGTATCCATATATAGAAACAGAAAAGAAGCCATCTGAAAATGGAGGAAGAGATTAGAGAGCAGTCATCACAAGCCAAAGAATGATGACAACAAACAGAACAAAGAATCTCTCCTAGAGAGTGCAGATCTGACAACATCTTGATTTTGGACCCTGATCTCCATAAGGGTGAAAAAAATATTTTTGTTACTTTAACTTGTATAGTTTACAGTAATTTGTTATGACAGCCTTAGGAAAGTAGTATCCTTAGCAATAAGTTTACAGAGGGTATGAAAGATATACATCAAAACCTATGAATGATTACAAAAAATGAGAAGACTAAACAAGTTGAGAGAAATGCTATATTGCAATACTCCATATTATTATAATTGTACTCAAATTGATCTACAGATTCTTTTTTCAAAAGAATTGTTTTATTTGATTTTATTTGTTATTGTTATTTTCCAGTTTGATCACAGAGAGACAGAGAAAGAGAGAGATGGAAAGAGAGAAAGCAAGCCACCAGGTCTGGGACTCAAACTGTGGTCAGCCATGTGGGAGTCTAGTGCCTTTAATTGCCATGCCACCTGCAGGCCTTGATCTGTAGATTCTATGCAATCCAAATCAAATTCCCTAGAGGCTCTCCCCTTTCAATTTTGTAAGTTTATTTTACAGTTTATATTAAATTTTGTATAGCTTCTCAGTTGACAGTTCCCTTACTCTCAGCACTTTAAATACATCATTGACTGCCTCTGGCCTTTAATGTTTCTGTGGAGAAATTGATATTCTTATTGAGAATTCACTGTATGTCATGAGTTTCTTTCACTTTTTTCAAGAGTCTCTGTGGAGAACAATTTGGAGATTCCTCAAAAATCTACAAATAGTACTACCATATGATCCAGCAATCCCATTCCTCAGTATCTACCCAAAGGACAGAAGAATTCTTCATTGGAAAAGTGCTTGCACATTGATATTTATTGCGGTACTGTTCATGATTGCTAAGACATGGAACCAACCCAAATCCCTCCGTACGGATGAATGGACTGAAAAACTGTGGCACGTATACTCTATGGAATACTATTCAGCCATAAAAACCAACAAAACCCTGGCTTTTGACAGAAAGAGGAAGAATATGGAATGTTTACTGCTGAGTGAAGCAAGCCAGGCTATGAAGGAGAGATATTGTATGTCCCCACTTAATGTATAGCGAGTGTCTGCACTCCATGACTGAAACTGATTGATTAAAGGATATACAAACACAAGAGATGGGTGTGAATGACAGATGTGGTCTGTGTGGAGGAGCAGGGCCTAGGGAAGGACATTTGGAGGAGGGATATGGAGGTAGAGCATTGAGGGGATGGAGAGGTGTGGTGTTTTCTGTTGATATTTTTATCAACTGGACTGGGGAGAAATGTTCACATATTGAAATGTTCACTTTGTAAACTAAACAATGTGATTGAATGTATAAAAAAATAAAAAAAAAATTTAAAAAAAGAGTCTCTTCTCATATTAGTCCTTCAAAAGTTTGAGTACAAGGTATCTTGGTGTTGTTCTTTTTGAGTTTATCATATTGGAATTTTTTGAGATTCTTCTATTTGTGAATCCATGACTTTCTTCAAAATTGGATAGTTTTCATTATTATTTCTTGAAGGATTCTCTATAATATCTTTCTCTGTCTGTTTTCTTCTTGGATTCCCATAAGGTATACATTCGTAAACCTGATGATAAGCATCCTTAGGCTTAGTTCACTTTTCTTAATTCCTTTTCCTTTCTTCTCTTCACCTCTTCAGAAACAATAAAACTTCCTCCTTTTAAATATGCTGATTCTTTTTTTTTGAGAGTTAAATCTTCTTTTGAGAACCTCTACTACATTTTTCAATTCAGTTATTGTATTTATTAGCTCAAGAATTTTTTTGTTTCCATTACATAATTTCTATCTCTTTATTGAAATTCACCTTTTGTTCATGGACCATGTTCATAATTTCTTTTAGTTCTTTGTCCTTGTTTTCTGTCAGCTTTTTGAGCATATTCAAGACAGCTGTATTAAAGTCTTTGAGTAATATAGTGTGTGTGTAGCCTAAGAGATTTTCCATATTTATGTTTTTTTTTTCCTTTTAAGGGGCCATGTTTTCCTACTGTTTGGTATGTTTTGTCATTTTTCTTGCAGCTTAAAATTGGGTACTTTTAAAACAGTCATATCTCCTAGTCTTTGCAGACTAACATTAAAGTAGAATAGTTCTCTACTTGTTAGCTAGATGTCATCTGATCCTTGAGATTTGCTTGAGGTAATGACTTAAGATCTTTTGAGCTCTTTTCTGAGCATGGATCTTACCTGCGTTTCTTAGTTTTTCTTTTCTTTTTTTTTTTTTTTTGTTATCCTCTTCTTTTTAGATAGAATTTCACCATGTCACCATCCCTTTATTCAGCCTCCCAACTGGGACTACAATTGCACACCAGCATAACCAGCTCTTTTTTAGACAGAGTCTAGCTATATCATCTAGGTCACCCTCAAGTTCATGATCCTCCTATCTCAGCCTCCTCAAGTCATTAGAATTCTAGGAACATGCCAATGCCCCCCACCCTTTAACTGGATTGGAAATTGTATGCAGACATTCCACTTGGTCCTAGCATATAGAACACAATGTCTCAGTAGTGTGTGACTTCATGGCAAAGCCGTATGTATGACTTTTTTGATTCTCTTGTATACACAATGTTTTTAAATGTCTTAAATTCCATAACTGTTTCTCCACAGCTTTGCCTTAAAATGTTAGGTTCTATTGTATGAGATGCTACATATATTTCTCCACTCAGACCTTGGACGGAACTATGGTTATCCTTCTACTGCAGATTTCTCAACACAGGACTACCTGTTTCTCCTTGCCAAGATCCAAGTTATCTACATCATCTCACCTGAGCTCTGAGAGTAACTAGAAAGCAGACCTTTTAGCTTCTCCTGGACAAGTTAGTACATTGAAGGAAAGGAACTTACTCCTCACTCTTATTTAAAGGTGGGTACAAGGACTTGGATTGCAGATTTTCCAAACCAAATTGCAGCTTACTGGGGATGTGGTGGGGCAAGAGAGTAAAATTGCTGTGAAATTTTTTACTATTTAAATCATGGC